GGGAGGGGGAGGGGGGCTGATAAAGAGATGAAAACGATGATGGGGGGTGGTTCCGACGGGGAGAGGTGGAGGGACTAACTAGAGCGAGACAGTCCCCTCTGGGTTCTCGCCACCCTCGGCCGTGTGGCCTGAGGTCAGTCATGGCCCTCCCTGCATTTCTGTGAAATTAGGGGCCTTAGCCAGGGCCATCCCTGGTTCCCCAAGCCCTGCTGGGCCACCTCCTTAGGCTGTGGGCAGGGATTCAGGATGTATGTCTGTCGTTCTAAGGAAGATTCCATAGATGTTTGTTGAAATGAGTTAAGTGATGGCCCTAATTCCTTCAGGTGGCCCCTCGTCACCTTCAGAATCCAATCCAACCTCTTGGCACGGCTGAAAAGTACCCTCCCGGTCCGCGGCACTCGCCTCGGCCGCCCAGCTCTCCCTGCTCATCCCGACTCCGCACCCCGGGGCCTTTGCACTCGTGCCTCCTTCTGCCTGGCTGGCCCTTTTTCCCCAATGCCACTTCATGTCACCTCCTCACAAAGTTCTTCCGCAGACCCCCCCTTATCCGAAATGGCCAGAGAATTTGCTTTCCTTATTTATTTTCCTGTTTCCTCCCAATCGGGGGATGTCAAACTTTTCCTGTAAAAGGTCAGACAGTCGCTATTTTGGGCTCTGGGGGCCACAGAGTCTCCGTCACGACTGTTTCACTCTACTGTTATTGTATGACAGTGGCTGTGTTCCAATAAAGCTTTATTTACAAAACAGCTGGCTGACGGATTTGGCCCACGGGCTGTAGTGTGCCGGCCCACGCTCTAGAGTGTAAACTCTGTGACGGCAGGTTCTTGCTTTGTGCAGTGTCAAATCTCCAGTGCCTGGAACTGCACCCCCTCAGTAGGTAGCTGCTCAATTACTGGGTTAGCCAGGGTGGTTTCGAGGATGACAGAACATATCTTAAATTCCTGGCATGTGAGAAGTGCTCGCTTCCATCTGCCGAATGACTCACTGACTAACAACTTTCTCTTCACTCCACCGCCCTCCCCACATCCCCAGGGCCAGTACCCAGCCCTGTCCCTCCTGACCCCTGACCCTCTCTGCCCGCTTCCTTCCTCTCCATCCCCACAGTCCCGACCGACCTAGGCTCAGGCCTTGTCCTCATCCCCTGGACCCTCGTCCCAGCCTCCTGCCAGGCCTCCTGACCTCCAGTCTCCCCCTCCATTCCATCTCCAAGAGCCCAGAGTGGACCTGCTCTCCTCGTCCCTGGACAAGACCCCAGCTCCTCAGCCTGGCCCCGCTTCCCCGCCTCATGGCTCCCTCCCAGCCCCCGGTCTCCTGGCTTGGCCCGTGCTGGTCGCCCTGGTCACGCCCTGGTCACGGCTGTCTAATGGGATCGCTTCCTCACTGGCGGCCATAAAGCCTTCCGGTCGCCTCGTCCTACCTCGGGAGTGCTGTGTGCTCCCCTCACTGCGAGACCCCGTGCCACTTCCACTTCTGCAAATGTCACCTCCAATGGTGACTCTGTGCCTGCCTCTCCCACGGAACTGAGAGCTCCTGGGAGGTGGGGGTGCTGATTCTGCTCACTGCTGAATTCCCTGCGTGGGGGACACGTGGGAGCTTTATAAGCTGGCCAATTCACGAGTGACTGGGCGGCTGAGCCTTTCTCATCCCATCTTGTACCCCGAAGAGTACCCTGAGTGTACACCCCATTTTCTTGACTGAAATGTTTATAAACCACAAGGGTAGGCAGGGAGCGAGATGTCGGTGGGGGTGAGGATGGGGGTCAGTCGTGAAGGCAGGAAGGGAGGTCAGGCGCATGGCAGGAAGGGCTGGGTTAGTTCTGGGGGGTGAGGGGCAGGCCAGGTCCGGGCAGGCGGGTGGGGATCAGAGTCGGGGCTGGAGGTTGATTAGATGGAGCCGTTCACAGTGAGGGGGTGGGAGTCTCGGTCAGTGGGGGCTGCATGTTCTCAGAGGGGTTAGTCAGGAGAGAGGGTC